AGTGGACCCCAAGGACCCCAAATTCTGTGGCAGGACACAAACCCAACTCCCAGTGGCCCACCAGTAGTCTGGCAGGCTGAATATAATGGCTCCAAGGGCTGGATCTGGCATACCCATATGCTTGACAGCCCTGATTCAAAGCAGGGGTGGGCAATTATTTCAGCTGGAGGGCCACTTAATAAGTTTTGGTGAGGTGTCAAGGGCTGGAGGGGTAGCTCTGCCCCTTAAAAGGTGCCCTGCCCCCTGGTCACCATCTTGCGACTGGAAATCCTGTCCTCTAACCCCTGACCTTTGCCACTGGAAGTCTCTCGCCTTGCCCAAGAAGTACTGCTGGAGGGGGGGGGCGTTGCTTGTATGTGGATGGGTAGTGGGGTTGTACGTGGTTGGGGGTGTGTGGAGTGTAGGTATGGTGCGGGAGTCGTGTGCGGGGATATAGGAGGGGTGTGTGGGGCTGCTGGGTGTGTGTGTGGGTATAGTGCGGGTGGGATGTGTGGGGGGTGCAGGGTGTATATGTAGATGTGTGTGGAAGTGTGGGATGTGTGGATGGGGTGTGTGTTGGGATGGTTGGTTATGTGTGTGGGAATGAGGGGGTGGTGTGTGTAGGAAGGTGCGTGTGGGGTGTGGGTATATGTGTGGGGGTGTGAGGTGTGTGTATGGTTGGGGTGTGGAGTGTGTTTGTGGGTATGGTGGGGGGTGTGGGTATGGGTATGGTGGGGATCAGGTTATGGGTGTATGTATGTGTATAGTGGGGTGTGTGGTTGGGGTATGGGACTGTGTTGGGTGTGTGTGTGGGTGGGGTTGGTGTGCGAGGGGGTGGAGTGTGTGAGGAGGCTTGGAGGGATGCGTGGGGTGTGGGTGGGTTGGGTGTGCATGTGTGGGGGCCTTACCCCCTGCCTGCTGTTTGTGATGTAGCTGAGCCCAGCCCCTCCATGGGCAGCAGGAGGGATTGAGAGATCAGCACTGCCTGCCTGGCTCTCAGTATGCTGCAGGAGGAAAGCAGCTGGTGCCAGTGGACAACAGGAGAAGACCCTGCAAGAGGGGAGTGGAGGCAAGGAGCTCGCACCACTGGTTCTTTTAGTCTCTGTTGCACACCTGCCTGGCAGGGCTGCAGCTGAGCCTGCATTGGCTCCTGTAGCTGTTGCTTCTATCTCATGTGCCTGCCCAGCAGGGTTGCACTAAGTGCAAGCTGGCTCCTGCTGCTGTTCCCCCACCTCCTGCCTGTCCTGTGCCTGCCTGGCAGGGCTTTGTGAGCAGCTGAGCTCCTTCACATTCCCCACTTCCATCCACACACTCCCCTGCCCTGCATGAGTGGGACCAAAGCAAGCTGCAGGCAGAACCCATCCCTCTGCCTGCTGTCTAGAGTGGTACAGCAGGGACAGAAGGAGGAGTCACTGGAGGCTGGGGCAACCCAGCAGTTCTTTGGGTAGTGTCAGCAGCAGCCCTGCTCAGAAGCTGTGCCTGCTGGCTGGGCTGGTGCCCTTCAGCAGGGGAGGCTGGGAGTGCAGCTTGTGCTGCCCCAGGCAGGACTCAGTCCCATGTAGAGCATTGCAGGGCAGCCTTAGTCAGGGCTGGATACAATTATTTGGTAGATGCCTGCCTGCAGGCCAGATCCAATCAGCTGGCAGGCTGGATCTGGCCCATGGGCCATATTTTGCCCACTCCTGGTTTAAAGTATGCTGATCCAAAATAGTAAACTCACATTTTGTATTAAAACATACATTTTCTAAATATATTAATACATCAGTTAAAGAATCCATGTCAAAGAGATGGCTGACTAATTATAAAACCATTTAGGAGGACTTAAAAGGACATGCAGAAGCCAGTGTGTAGTTTTGGGTCCATCATGCACTAGGATATATTTATTTTTGCCATCCTATACATGGTCATTAGTTTCAAGAAATTGCTTAATTGTCACCTTTCTTCCACCCCTTTGTTTCATCTCTTTTACCGAACTAGAAGCCATAGAGTGTATCTAGATGAGTGTGCACGTGCCTCTTGCACCATTTAAAGCTCCTTTGAGATGCTGCAAGAGGCATGTGCGGGAATGTCTTAGAATGAACTACTGGGTTCAGAAGATTCCCCGCGCTTGAACAAAGGACGTACTCACGGTTGTTCTCACCCTTGCAAAGCTTTATTTAAGCATACTCGCAGAGGCAGGTGACAGGACAGAGCAGAGAGGATGGTCACTTCACATTGGCCTTAGGCAGAAGCTGCCACTCCGCATAGTTCCCCTGGCCCCAGAGTGTCCCAATCCCGGGGATGCGATAGCCTGCGCCAGGGCTCCACGCAAGTCGGAACTTTTGCCAGAGCTGAGGAACCCATTGTAACTCAAGAATGTACAGCTTATATAGTCTGGAGTAAATAACGTTATCTTGAGCCAGGGATTTGGTTATCTCAAGCTAAGAATTTGGGGATGAGTCATAATCCAACACACCTGGTATTTACCACATTCCACTGTATTACAACATTCTACTATCTAGGTCCATGGTTTGGTCATGCTCACAGAGCAGGAGGCTACGTGCTGTTTCGCCAGCCTACTGTGGAATGAGCATGCAGAACTCTTGCTATTAGCATTAGTAAAGCTCTTACTATTACAGGGAACAAAAACAAATGTTCCCCACACTGCAAATTTGCAGCATGGGGGCAAAATTAGGCCCCTGGATATCCAGGGGTCTAACAATACCCCAGGGCAAAAAAGAGGAGGCAGGGTAGTCCATGCAGGCAGGGTAGTCAATGTGCTGTGGCGGGGGGGCTCTGCCCTGTGGGGGGCAGGGAACCCACCCCTCCTAAGCAGCCCCCACACCTACAGTCCCCCCACACAGTGACCTGCATCCCTCCACACCCAACTTCCTCCTGCAAACCCCACATCCCTCCATCACACACCCACCATGAGATAAGGAAACCAAAAGCAAACATTAAAACATAGATATTTATGATTTATTTTATTATAATGCTAGAGACACTGGTAGGCTTCCAAATTGCTTTAACATTGTAAATATAGCAATAAAACATTGCCCATTTGATCAATCCCTCTCTCTCTATATTTTGTTCTAATTATGGAAGAATGGATTTGGGGTATTTTAAAAAGTGAATTTGGGATGCAGCTTCAGCTGTCTAGCTGACACAAAGAGCTAGTGTCCCCAGACATGGGCAAGTGGTGCTGTGTCGGGGGGCATCAACCAGTCCTGCCGACTGGGGGGGTCCCCCCATGGCCGATCTCGCTGCCCAGGGCGGGGGCTCCCTTCTGCGGCAGATCCCGTAACAGCTGATCACTATGGCTGATTGCTGCAGCTGCTTCTGAGAGTGGCTGCAGCAATCGGCTGGCACTTGCAGGGGGGGCACGGGTGCTTCCGCTTGCCCCCCCTGCCCATCACCTAAGTGACTAGTGTGGCTGGTCAGGGGGTGCACCCCCATGCACACCCTGCACATTGCCGCTGTCCCCCAGATACCAAGTGGTATGGTGTGGGTGGGATGTGTGGGGGACAGTGATACCAGAAGCTCCTGGGGGGCAAGTAGTTCTGAGCTGCTGGCCAGGGCAGGTTTTTATACTTTTGGGGCCAGGCACAGGGCAGCATTTTATACTGCTGGGGCCAGAACAGGTGCTGGTCCCAGGCTCTAGCTCCCTTTGGCTACAGATCCAGGAGGAGTCAGACAAGGTTATTTTGCCCCGAGTGGCACAATTTGCTCCACAACAAAGTGCATGTTCGGGCACATGTGCTGAGGCAAAAAGCCCTTGCTCAAATTTGCACTGCTTCTACTTGAGCTGTTGTAAGTGCACATGCTAGCATGTCTGGATGCACCCATAGGTTTGTAGGTAGAATAAAATTCTTCCATGTGTTACAACACAAAGAAAAATAATGTGACTTATACTCTCCTTTGAAATGTAAGTGTTTCATCTATGCAATATGCAGTAACAGAAGTTGGGCATGAGAGGCCAGAAAATTATTCCCTGCCTGTGAACACTGAAAACTTCTACTCTATTGCCAGGCTAAACTAATCTAGAAAAACTTTTTAAGAATGTTCTACTATATTTGTATTATATGTATTTGCATTATTTATATACAAAATAAAATGTATTCTCAAATAAGACCTGTCCTTTCCTTTACATCTCCTCCTAAGCACCATAGCATTGCCATCCTGTAATCTGAAGGAATGATAGTAAATAGATCTTGTCTAAGTCTTAACAATGTTCTTCCTTTTGGACACAATCTTCTCCCAATGGATAAAGTACAACAAGCTATGACTTCAAACACCATATTTCCTTTTTATAGCAAACAAATACATAAGATATGAGATTCTCCTGAGGTTCCTTCCGACCCTAATTTTCTATGATTCTTTTTTATTTTAGGAAAGATTTCAGTTGTGTTGAATAAGATCTTTCTGTCCCTGTTTTGCTTTTTAGGAATACTGAATACATGGTTTTGGTCAAATAGAACTCAAATATTTTATACATTTATATTTTGTTTCAACTTTATATAGTATTTAACTACTTTGTCCTCACGCTCTCTCTCATTTGCAAGCTAACCCTTCATTTTGCCAAAGCAACAACATGTAACACAAAGTATGTTTGCTCTTAATTTCAAAATGGAAGTGACAATTCTACTTTCTTAACCCTGCCACCCATTTCTCTCTACTTTCTGATCTGCTGACTGCTGATGGCTTTCAAAGTGAGATCATTGCACTTTCCTAGATATTTGTGTCTAAACTTTATTTGTTGGAAATGTCTTTTCCTAAACTACAATAGGTTAATAAAATTTCTTTGAGTGATGTTATCCTAAGATTGCTGTGGGGAAACACATATGGATGCTGCTGCTTTTTAAGGACTGGAAACAACATAAAATATTATTTTTTTCACCCAAATAGTTGTCTGTATTCCACTATGACTAGTAACTCTTTGTTTATTTGTAAATGCATCACATGATTCCTTATGCAAATGTGCTATCTTTGTTTACTCATTGCCTTTTATTTAGAACACTGAGAATATTTATTTTATTATACAGGTCCCCAGTGGTGCTGCTTCCATCTCTCCAGAGTTGCACTATACTCCTCTGCCTTCAGGATCCAGGGACCTCACTAATCACAGAGGTATGAACTGAGTTTTTATTGCTAAGAACTGCTACATGGTGGTAAAGCTTACTGTAAGGCCTTCTCTACCCATTACTCTTCATTGGCACTTTAGAAAAAAAACTGTGCCTTTCAAATGGTTGATTAGAAAACCATACCTGTCAAGACTACAGATTTTAACTCATATTAAACAAGATTTAGAGGTAGTCTACTGGGAAAGCAAACAGATCTATGGCATAAAAATGTTTTCCTTTTTTATCATAAAGAAATTTGAGTACTTATATGTTGCTAAGTAGGTGCTTATATGCAGCATTAGTAATTTTTGGAGAATTTGTAAACTTTCTATTATTTATGAGGAGAGAGTTATTTTGCAATTTAACAATTTAGAGCTATAATTTCAAAATTTTAGTACACTTTTAGATTGCAATAAACAAGGATTCGGCCCTGTTTTTCTGCATTAGAGGGGGATCAGTGTTCAATTTCCTTTAATACTGATCCTTAGAACTTAAACTCCTTGGGCAAATTCTCAGATTCCTTCTGCATGCCTATGGAACACAAAGTTCAGAAAGCAAGTGAAGGACTGTAGCTGCTATAGGGAAAGCATTACAAGCCATTTCACTGTTTCAAAAAGAAGCTTTAAAAATTTGCATCACTTCATCTAGAAATAGGAACAGCAAATTATCTCTATATTTTCATAGTCCCTCATTTGATTCCATTTAGTTTTAATATTAAAAGTATTTTCCCTATTGTAGTGATGTAATGCACATACATTCTCTAGTTACAACAAGACAATCATACTTTCTAAATGCTAGCTTAGTTGAAGCCAGTCTTATGCTCAGGAACTAATAGTGAGTTGGCTTCCAATCCTCCTTGGTGTGCTGAACCAGACTCAACCTCTTTTAATGTTTTTTGAGACCCAGAAGGGTTTACACTGCCTAATACAACTTGATGCTTTCAAAATATTTGAAGGAACTTCACTGAACTTGGCCAGTGATATCCATCTGCTTCTGATCTCCAGGGTGATCAGTAAGAAATGCTGCAATTGAGGTATATAGAAGACAATGAAAGTCAACACTTCTTGTTACGCATGTTATGTTATATATAATATTTCTAATAGAAAAACTATGAAACCCAGTTCTCTACACTTTTGGGCTGTTAAAAAATCATATAAATATCGTATGAAGCCTAATTTCTAAGTAAATGTGACCATTTTCAGATTGGAATTCTGCTGGATAAGATGAGGTAAGGTCTGGTCTGAAAAGTACATAAAAAGTGCTTAGGACCTTAAACAGTTATTTTAAACTGGATCAATGCAGTCAAGCATGGGTAATGCAAATGATAATGGATTACAGGCCTGAGTCATGACTGACCTTAGAATCTATTCTTTATTGTCAGAAAGCAGCTAGTGGTATTGAGCAGCAGAAGCATGTCCCTAGGTTATGGATAGATTTCTCAGGCAGTGCAATGCTTCCTTGTAGCAGTATTTGGCAGCCAGAGTATGTCTTAACGTAATGTATATTTAGAGCTACATCAACAGCTTGTTGAGTCCCATTGCCATCAATAGAATTTGAAGATGCTTGAGCAGTCAGTATCTCTTATTTTTCCCCTTTGCTCTTTCTCTTTGGACATTCTGGAATAGAAGATAGGTGGAAGAATTCTGCAATTAGAAATAAACACAATAAGCTCTTCACTGGTACTTTTGGGGTATCTTGAACTTGGAACCTAATACATGCAATGTTATGCAATTCTTTGTCATTTCCTTTGTTCCCTATTTTCAAAAAGTTTGCATAAGAGCATCCTGCTGTTTTCCTTGATATTATGCATTTATGTGTTTGGAGCGGGTGGGCAGAGTATATAAAAACAGGTGAAATGGGCCCTGGAATGACATTGTCTTTCTTCAACAAACAGTGTGTAGGTATTCTCAAGGATATAATTAAGAAAGCTTTCCAGAAATCCAGGTGCTATAAATAAAGCTTGGAACAACCTGCTGGCAGGGTTTACCCAGCCAATCAACTGGTTCTTTAAAACAAAGAAAAAGATTTCCAAGTCTGTAATCTAAAGAAGGCTTAATTGGAATCAACAGAGAAACTTCCAGGAAAAGAATAAAAAATGTAAACGTCATTTTGGGGTCTGGACTCCCGAAGTGTTTCTCTCCCTGAATGCTCTTGGTCTCTCATAAAATGATAAAATCCTCTGTTGCACATGTATGTATTGGCTGCTTTCAACCCAAACTGAAAAAGAGACCGGCCATGAGTTTGAGAGTTTATTTGTCCCTGGAGGGACTTGTTTACTAGACCCTGAATCGCTGGCAAACAGTGCAGTGCAGCTGTAAATTAGGTCTTCTTGGAGACTGGGAGGAGCAGCAACAGCAGCAAGTCAAATCCATTTGATTGGCAGTTTTACTTTAACAAGTTTCACTTTGTTTAACTATTTTATTTCTCACTGGGAGCAAAGGCATCTAGTTGTATTCATCCTTTGCCATTTACCTCATCATCTTTGTGTTTTACATTCAGGTATCCATCACAGTATTTCCTCATCTTTTGGGGATCATCGCTTGGCTTGCACACACTACTTTCAGGGATTTTACAAGGCGCGTTATAGAACTCTCCAAAATGCCACATTAAAATATTGTGGGAATAATTGGTTAAATAAATGCCACATTAAAATATTGTGGAAATGTGGTTATATTGATTATCAAAGCATTGTGATGACTGAGAAAATAGTTGGTGTCCACTAGAGCTGTGCAAAGCTTCAGTCCCTGATTCAATTCGGTGGAGATTCGGCCCAATTCGGTAGCTGAATCTCATAATCCAAATCAAATCAGGAGACCTTTTAATCTCTCTGAATTGAATTGGAACCCTCCGAACCGATTCAGAGAGATTTGGACAGATTCGGTGATTTGGACATAGACACAGCTTTAAATGTTTTTCTACATACCTCATGGTAGCAGGTAGTTTGTGAATGCTGAGATGCTGGGGCAGATGGAGCATCCCACAGGAGCGCGGGATTGGGGGGGTTCCCAGTGTGCTCAGCCGCAAACCTGGAAGTGGACCAGAAGTAGTTCTGGTCCACTTCTGGGTCCACTGGGGAGTGCTCTGGGGGCCCCCCTATGCTCCTGCAGTTTCACAACTGGTGCCTCCTGGCTTTGGGGGGGGACCTGGGGTCCCCCCATGGCCAATCATTGAATCAATGGTGGGGTCATGGGGTGGGGGGGGGAACGCTCCATGCACTCAGCCTCAGACCCGGAAGTGGACCGGCAGTACTTCTGGTCCACTTCCGGGTTCGCCATCAAGCACGCAGAGGGCCCCCCCCTCCCCCCACTGCAATCCTGTGGGATGCTTCATCTGCCCCAGCATTTCAGCATTCACGTGCCTTACCTGGTACCTCGAGGTATGTAGAAAAAACGTTTAAAGCTGTGCCTATGTCCAAATCGCTGAATTTCTGAATCAGTATTGAATCTTCAGATTAGGCTGAATTGAATCAGGGACAGTGATCTGAATCAACTGATTGAATCACTGTCCCTGATTTGGGCCAAATCCAAATCTGAATCAAATATAGCCCATTTCGCACACCCCTAGTGTCCACCCTATTTCCTAGTACAGCTACCCTGGGGGGCAAATGGCTGTAAAATTAAGCTAATGTAAGTTTACCAGTGTATCTGAAGTTATCTTGGGGTAGCCATCTGCTCAATGTAAATAAGCTTCTTATCTGTTTTGCCCCCATCTAGTGTCTACTGCAGTAACTATCCTGGGATAACTGGTCATCTGTTAACCATGATTAACTTGCCATGTGTCCATGCCATTGCACCCTGGTTCCCTCCACTCCTGATTGAGGTTATGATCCCTTCATATTCTGGTTGGCTATAGTTGAGTTCCAGTGTTCGAGGAGCTCTTCCCTCCTTCCCTCACCCTCTCCCCACCATCATCAGATAGGAACTAAATTTGTTATCTTATATGGATCCTACTACGTGTTTAAATTAAAGCCAGGCTGAAACCAGCTATAGAGTTGTTAAACAGTTTCAAGCACTAACTTTATAGCTGGCTGGCTCTTTTTATAGATGGATATTCATTTTTATCATCTGATAATTACTTTGCACATGTGGCTGGTCTAAATTTATTGTGCAATTAGCCAGTTAGTTGTGTGATAATTACTTTGTATTTGTGGCCAGTCGTACTTTGCACGTGTGGCTGGTCTAAATTTATTGCATGATTTACCAGTTAATTATGTAATATAGGTAACATGATGCAGGGGTGGACATATTTTCTGTAGTGGTAATCCTACACTCAAGCCCTTTTATTGATTCCAGAACTGCGATCTTAAGTACTTCAGATTAATTGTTTGGCTATGTTAAGCCAGTCTTTTAGGTCTTAATACTTTTATTTATGCAAATATTCAGTATTCCTCTATCCTATGTGAAACATGAGCAGCCTTTGAAGCTAATGAAAATTTACTTAGACTAATGAAAAGTCTGAAAAATAGGAGGCATTCATCATCTCTCTCCTTTATATCATGGAAAATTGTAGATTTTTGCTGGAAAAACAAAACAAATCCTTTGTTTCTGCCTGATCTCTAAGAAATCAATGAAACTGAGCATGAAGGAAATGCACTGAAATGCTTTGACATTATTGGTAAGGAAATCTGTTTCTCCCAAGAAAAAAACAATGGAAATACTATTATTTTTAAACATATAAGTATAGCATTAAATGCCAAACAACCAAAGTATTTCTGACCTGAGTCATGCATGTGATGTTTTTGTTGTCCTCTCTATGCATTATAGGTATTGCAAAATTAATTGGTTAATTGTGCTATTACCTGGAGATCAGCTACATGTACAAATTAGCTATCACACAATAAAAAGCTCCAACCGGCTATAAAGTTACCTTTCAATGGGTGCATCTACATGTGATGTTACACCACCAAAGTGACTCCCACCCTGGGGGTTTTCAGCACCTTGAGGGCAAGGAGGTCACCGCAGTGGTGATCCTACAGCCCCAGGGTGCATGGGGTGCCCCTGTGGTTGG